TAATCTTTCTGTGCCTCAGCCTCCTCATCTGACGAGAAAAGAGGAGGAAGGAAGAGAAGGATTTTAGCTAACCTATCTCATGGGTTGTTGTGAAGATCAAATGGGATAAAGGATTTAAAGAGGTTAAGCCAGTGCCTGGCATGTAGGAAAGACCTTATGTTAGCGATTACTATAATATGATTCTTAGGTTTCTTTCTTTTGGCCCTCCTTCCTTCCTTCCCTTCCCTTTTTCTCTCCCACTGCCACCAGCGTCTACACCAATAAAAGAGAAAGATGCAAATTAACCATACCTCTGCAACACCCACCAGCCAATCAGGAGTGAGTATGCAAATTGACCCAACAAAGATGGTGGGTTAATTTGCATATTCAGGCACCAAGTGGCTGGAAGCAGGAAGCTTGAATCATTACAATGGTGATGACGCAGGCATTCCGCATTGCCCCAGCTGTTCCAGGCCTCAGGGCAGCATGGGAAGACAGAAAGGTGGCTCCGGGCTGGAACAAAGGTGGTGCCAGAAGACAGGGAAAGGAAGGCCCATTCTTACATGAATTTTCATGCATCGGGCCTCTAGTAAAGAATAAGAATATACTGGGAACAACACAGTATGATCATCCTGGCTTGCCTCCTGGCTCTCTGACTTCCCACCCAGGAACACTTCCTCCCCCACTCCTGGCCTATGTGGTTTGGGTGAGATCAAACTCAATCTTGTCTCCCAGGGACTGGCACATGATCCAGGCCTAATCTATCACAGTAGTCTGCCCTTCTCCCCAATGTACTCCTGGAGGGACACATGACCTAAGTTAGGCCAATCGCAATTGGTCCGTGGGCACAGGTGGAGTCTCTCTCTAGTTGTTGGATAGATTACAGGCCTGGAGCTGTTGGTAGCTGCTATCTTTATTGGCCCTGGGGAAAAAGTCCCCAGAAATGAAACCAACATAGCAAAATCCAGCTGTGACAGATGAAGAGGAACCATGCCTGAAAAGAACAAGAGCCCTTGGATCCAGCTGTGTTACTCTGGACTGTTCAGTTACATGTGTGGATTTAAAAAAATATATTTTTTATTGATTTTTTTTTACAGAGAAGAAGGGAGAGGGATAGAGTTAGAAGCATCAATAAGAGAGAAACACTGATCAACTGCCTCCTGCACACTCCCTACTAGGGATGTACCTGCAACCAAGGTACATGCCCTTGACCAGAATCGAACCTGGGACCCTTGAGTCCACAGGCCCCATGGCTCTATCCACTGAGCCAAACAGGTTCGGGCTACATGTGTGGATTTTTATTTTTATTTCTTTAGCTTATGCCAGTTTGAGCTGGGTATTCCATTACTTGCATCCAAAGAGTTCTGACACATAAGAACAAAGTGGCCTGGCCTATGGCTAGAATTGAATGCAAATCTTGCTAATCTTGGTATTGCAAAGAAAGCTTGGTGAGGAGAGTTGGCGGGCATGAACGGCAATCTTGGTCTGTCCTTAGCCAGGGGGGGATTTCGTGTCATCTTTCTGGGTCCTAGTGTACTTGTATGTCAAATGAGAGAGGTGAGTGAAAATCAATCTCTGAGATCCCTTTTCAGTTCTAACATTCCCCAGAGTCTCTATTATTCCTGGGTTTCTTTCAGTTACGTATATTGTGGTATAAATGGTTACCCATTCTCATATTGTCCTGCTTCCTTCAGTTTCAATTAAAAAAAAATTTTTATTAGCACCTCCGTACCTATATTCCAAGGGTTTCTTTCTTTCCCTTCCATTTCCTTCTACAGAAAATATATGTTTGTGTACTTGGGCATGATGACCCCATTTTCTTCCCATTTCTACATTTTTAAATCTAATTAAGGTGATACGCTCCTTGAGGGTTGAAACTAGAGTTTTCCTGTGTGTAAACATTATTTATTTTTTAATTGCTAACCAAGTTGCCAGCTTTTACAGAGCTGCAGGATATGGGTTTTAAGTAATGTAAGCAGGAAATGGGTCTCCGGCCCACACAAAATAAATGCAAAAGTGCTGATTTTCCTTGAGTCCACATCTGGCTTACTCATTTATAATTCCAGCCTGCCCTGAAATTCTCCCACAGACCGACAATGCGACATCCGCATCTCCAGAATGTCAGACCCAAAAATGGAGCATTAGGTGATCATCCTGTGAGCCCCACTCGCACCTATAAATAATCTGGCTATTTCAGATAATAGCATACTCTCTCTTCAATGATAGGATATGGGATCCGAGCTAAGTGAATATTAGCTTCCTATCTTCACATTCACCGATTTTAAGTAATTCAGTAAGCTCTAAAGTTTGGAGGGAACAAAAGGACCCGGCTGAATGTGGTCAACTAACCCGTCATCAAGAGACAGAGCTGTCCAGAGGAAAAAGACTCTCCCAAACCGGATGATACATGCAGGAAGCTCTCCTGTCTGATGACCCATTCTTGTTCATCAGGACCCTACGTATAAACAAGTCTCCTACCTCAATTGCCTTAATGGCTACTTCTTGGCAATTAGGACAAAATAATCTGGAGGCAGAGGTTTTCAGGGTTGGTGAGTTCAGCAATTCAATGATGCCATTCAGGGCGTGACTTCTGTCTATCTTTCTACTCTTCCATCCACAGTGCCTGCTTTGTCCTAAAGTTGCCTTCCCCAGGGGGTGGAGAACAGCTCCCTGTGGCTCCTTGTTTCCTTATTCATGTGCATTGGAAGGGATGGCCCTTCTTCTGCCCCAATAGTCTAAGCATGAGTCTTTTTGTTTTGGTAATTTTGATAAAATTTCAAATTTGCCGAAAAGTTGCAAGAAAAGTACAAAGAATTCCTGTATATCCTTCTTCCAGATTTACAATTCTCAATATTTTGTCACATTTTCTTTCTCTCTTTTTCTCTTGCTAAACACACACCACATTTTCTTTCTCTCTTTTTCTCTTGCTAAACACACACACACACACACACACACACACACACACACACACTCATTGAACCATGGACAGTTAGTTACAGACACTGAGAACAAGAGCATTCTCTTGCCAAAGCCAGTTTGGCTCAGTGGTAGAGCGTTGGTCGGACTGAAAGGTCCCAGGTTCGATTCTGGTCAATGGCATGTACATTGGTTGCAGGCACATCCCCAGTAGGGGGTGTGCAAGAGGCAGCTGGTCGATGTTTCTCTCTCATTGATGTTTCTAGCTCTCTATCTCTCTCTCTTCCTCTCTGTAAAAAAATCAATAAAATATATTAAAAAAAAAAGAGCATTCTCTTATATAACCACAGTCCAATGATCAAAGTCAGGAAACTTAAAATTGATACAATGCTATATTCTAATTTATAGTCCACATTCAAATTTCACTAATTGGTATAAAAATGTCCTCTAGGGCTATTTCACCTCTGATCCCTGATTCAATCTGGATTGTGCATTGCATTTAGTTGTCACGTCTCTACTGGTTTGGGACAGTTCTTCAGACTTGCATAATCTTGGCATTTTTTAAAGGGATCTATTTTTTGTAATTGAGCCTATTTGCTGTCTTATTATTGAGGTTTTATAAGCTCTACTTTCAAGTCCTTTATCAGATATTTATAAAGATTTTCTTCTCGTTTGTTGGGCTTATCTTTTCATGAATTTCACAGTGTCCTCTGAGAGTGGACATTTTTAATTTCGATGAAATCTAATTCATCATTATTTCTTGCATGACTCATGAGCATGAATCTCAAATTCATTCTCATTGGATGGGACGAGGTCACACGTTCACACCATGAACCAGCGACTGGCTGGGACACAGAAAGTATAAATAGGCTTGAGTCAACCAAGATAGTCCCAGCCTTGAAGTTTTCCCTGAAGTGTAGAAATGCAAGATGTAGGAAAGTGAATTCAATAAACCCTAGGTACAGTTAGGATGCTGGGCAGGGTACCAAGAAACACCCCCAAGTAGTGGCTCCCCGCAAAGAGCCTGTCAGAACCATGCTGCATGGGACTTTCCCTCCCCAGCCAGCCTCCTCCTCCACGGCTGCATTTCCATGTCCCAAAATCCAAGAGCCTGCAATGTTTAGTCTTTAAACCCCACTGTGGGATTGTGGTGAAGATGCCTGGCCTTTTGTCCCACGCTCTTAGGGGGCAGTGGCCATGTCTCAGGCATTTCCAGAGTCCCCTCACAGCACCTAGCCCAAACCCATTCACAGTTCTGCCTTGGCCAAATCCTCAAGTGATGGGATGAATAAAACAACAGCAATCCCATTTAGTGCCTCACCGGCACACTTCCCAACATCTTCCTTAGGCCTGCCTAAACCACGCCCCTTGCCTGTCAATTTCTTATTCCCTAGATTTGAAAGCACCAAAGAGAGAGTGAAGGTATTTTGTACTCTGGCTATATCAAAGCACATCTATTCCAAACTCCTATTATCTGATGTTTACGGACCGCTAATTTTTAATTTACTAAAATGTTCTTTTTTGCATTTATAAAGTATATAATTGTTTGGAAGAGAGGGTGGCTGGGAAGAAAAAAAAAATCAGATCTTTCCTAAATCAAGTTTGGAAAAATGCCAATGTGCCAAATGTCTCCCTTTCTTCTACAACAAAAGTTTTATGCTCTCTTCCCTCTAAAAAATTAGGGCAAGTGATCACTGCTGTCAATACTCATGTCTCTTATCTCCCTTCATTCTCTCCAATACAAGCCAAACTGTATTCCATTGTCCAGATGGGACAATGGAGTCTCTGAGTGGTTATGTGGTATGTCCAAGATACTAGTGGCTCTGAAACGCATAGGAGTAACTGCTCTGGACTACAAATCTGCCATCCACGACACCCAACTCCTATCTTTTTACCAACTGCCACTCGAGTTTTATCTGAAAAAAATCCCCACAGTTAGTCTATTTTCATGCCATCTCTGTTTACACCTGCCCTCGGCAATACATCATTAGTGTCACATCTGAATTCCACATGCTGACATCGCCCCACAACCGGATTTTGGAAGTGGGGCAATTTATATTTATAGATAAGGCAAAGAGGGAAAAAAATTTTGAGACTCCACTTACATTCTTTGGACATTCCCACTTCAAAGCACTTCTGGAGTCGACAGTACTGGCATCGATTCCTGGTGACTTTATTAATAACACAGTTCTTATCTCGGTGACAAGTGTAAATCATGTTCTTCTGAATACTTCTGCGAAAAAACCCCTGCAAGCAAGCAAGCGAGAGAAAACCAAGTCAAACCATGGAGCTTTGCGAGAAATCAAAGCCAACCTTATCGATGCATTGATGGCTCGTTCTGAGTAATGAAGTGATGGCAGCAGAAACATTAACTCAGTTAAGCCTTAAAGTCCTTGTGAAATATTAATAATCAGTCCCCCCTCCCCTCTCTCTCTGCAAACCAGAGAGCCCCTTTTAATCAAAACTAGAGCTGATTGTTATTATCTTGCTAAAGGAAGTTAATACCAAGCTGATTCATTTGGAAAACATAATGTAGAGTTGGATTCTCTCCAAATAGGCTAACTTCATAAGTGGTTCCCTCATCGGCCAATGATTTCAGAGAAGTCCACTCTCAAGAAACTCAATGTCAGAGCCACCACATTTACTGGTTCTCTCATTAATGAGTTAAATAAGTCTTCAATGTATGCTTACTGAATATTTGGATTAATTACCACTTTTTAGCTCTTGGAAAATTATATTTTGACAACAAAAGCGCTTTATCCTACTTTTATGAGACACTGATAGAATAAAGCAGGCTGTTGGCTCCATGATCACTCGGGCCTGGCCTTCTGTGTCCTCCCGTTTCTCTCACACAGCTTTGCAGACAACAGGTAATCTAGTGATGCTTGTTAAACACACAGATGAATGAGCAGGGAGTGAAGGGTAGACCTGCTGCCCTCTCTCTCCTCTATTGTCCAACAGAACCCTCTGTGTTGCCATGAGCATTAAAAACCGGGAGTTTCACTCTCTCAGTTGTGATGTGACTTTTACCTACATCAGAAACAATTGTCTTGAAGGTAAGAAACACATCATCGAAACGTGCTGAATAGCAAATAAGCCCCGCCATCTGAGTTCAACTTTCCCTGAAGTACATTAACACTCCAGGAGCCAGAACTAAAAACGTTCAAAGCTAAACCACATTAGCGAAGAACGCGCATATAACACATTGTTTAGGATACTTACACGGGCACCCTAGGATTTTAATGTCTAAATAAACATACTTTTACTGGCAAGCTTCAACTGTAAACGGCTGGAAATCTTATTTAAAGTTGCTGCTCCTGTCACATCCGAGAGACACATCCATTTCCCAAGAAAACACAGGTTATTTTTATGCCGCTGGAGCTACAAATATGCTGAGGATCTAAAATAACAGGTTGCAAAGACTTTGAAACCCTCACAGAATCTGTGCAGAGCGGTCATCTCCAAACATACCTTTTCCTGCAAAAAATATCCACAGGACACTTTTGGCTGCCAGATGCACACACTCACTTTACAAAAACTTCACTGTCCTCCTGCCCAAACCCACTGACACAAGAGAAGACCCAGTCTTTTCCATTTCTGTGAAGCAAGTGAGCTATGGACAAAGCTGATCTCCACTTACTAAAAACTGAATGTTCTGCTCAGCCGGTATGGCCAGTGGTTGAGCATCGACCTATGAACCAGGAGGTCCTGGGTTCAATTTCTGGTCAGGACACATGCCCGAGTTGTGGGCTTGATCCCCAGTGTGGGGCATGTAGGAGGCAGCAGATCATAATTCTCTCTCATCATTGATGTTTCTCTCTCTCTCTCCCTCTCCTTTCCTCTATGACATCAATAAAAAATATCTTTAAAAACACACACAAAAAAGCTAAATGTTCAGTTCAGCACATGCTTAGGGAGTGACCATGGAGGAGAGAGAGACAACCCCATGAGGCTCGGATGAAAGGATGACAGACGAAGACAGGATTAAGGAACTTTATATGTCACTAATTATTCAGTCAGTGTGGTCCAGTAACAATGATGGCAGAAACTAAATAGGACTTCTTAGTTTTCCAAATCAGATTTTTGGCTGGATTTCAGGAGAAGGTCTAAGTTTCAGTAAATCATTTCCACCAAGTTAGGATACTTGCTGATGAAACTGTATGCTGTGAGGTATTTTTATACACACTCCAGGTAAACAGAAATGCCCTCCGAGGGCAAAAAGTGGTTTCCAGTATATGAATTCTCCTTCTCCCTCATAGACACTATGAACTGTTACACAAAACTGGGTTTTTCTCAGACCTCTGCTTTGAAGACCTAATGTGTATGTGTGTTTGCACACATGTGTGTACACACATGCATGTGCATGGCAGTGGGGGTTGGGGTATAGCCCCATGCCACCTAAGTTTAATTTAATATATTTTTAGGTTGTCTATATATTTAAGATTATTTAAAATAGAAATTTTAAAACTCTAGTTTAATTAGAAAACCAGTGCCCAACTGTCACTATTAGAAGACACTCATAAATAAAAAGGAAGTCAAGCCAAACAATAATCAGATGTTATTTCACTCTCAGTGGACAATGGATCTGCCTCACTCCTTGCTGAAAAGGGAGCTGAGCAAGTTGTTAGAGACAGATCGGCACTGACCCCGATACTTCTCTCTTGGAAGAATTCAGAGAAAATCAACAAGTGTTTCACTATGTAATTCCACGTGATTTAAAGCCATGAATCCATTCCACTTAAAACTGGAAAGCACAGGAAGAAGGGCCAGTGGTCCAGGTTGGCAGAGATGTGAATGATGGGGATGGAGAGATAGAGAGATAAAGAGCGGGGGATGAAGGGAGGGAGGAAGAGGGGAGCGGGGGAGAGAGACAGGCACAGAGTCTAAGACATAGCTGGAAGACCGGATTGATCTTCGGATTGGGTAAGATCATGAAGACCACACAAGACATTTACTGAAGAAGCATTTACACTTCCATGCAGGAGAAAGCTAGGATAGGAATTGTATTCCGCCAGGTCGTGAATCCCCGATTTCATCATGCTATTATTTTACACATAAGAAAGTAGATAGCGAGCCCTGGGTATCAATACAAACACCTGAAACCCTGAGCCTGCCCTTAGCTCTGGCCATAACGCAGCCCAAGAATCCTTCATCTCTGACGTGACATCGCAATCTGCTGACTCATGCTGAATGATCACGTTGCTTGTGAGAATTCCCGCTGTGGTGTTTTGAATGGAAAGTTGCCTTTAGTGTCAGGACCATTGATATCAGGTTTTACATGTGCGGGATGAGTCACGATCAACTGAATAAATAAAAACTATTTTATTTTGTCTTTTACAAAAAAAGGCAACTTGGCACTATATTAGTCATAAGAAAGCACTGGCTCAGGATAAATTCACACACAAAAAAAATAGTGTGGGAAGCACATCTGTTTGCCTTTGGCTTTTGCAGAGTTAATTTCTATTCCATGCAAAGTTCAAAAGGGTAATTTCTTCTTCCAGAGCGAAAGAGGAGAAAGAAAGTAGGGAAATCGTTGTTTCGTCTTGGTCATTAAAAGAAAAAGATGTCAATCCCGTCTTAATAAAAAAGTAACCAGGTGGCCACGGGGCTGGAGCGCAGTGAGGTGCGACCCCAGGCCTGCACCGAGCTGCGTGCGACCCCATTTCCAGCCAGAAGTGAAGATGCTGCCAGAGGGAGGTGAGTATGGAATTATCCCATCACGGCTACTTTGGGAAGCACGGTTTTCAGACCAGGAAACACGTTGCCTTAAACAAACAAAAAACACCCTCCGGAGCAAGTGGAAGTCTATGCGTGACAATGTCTGCAAAGTTATTCATAGCAAGATTTGGGAGGGAGAAAGAGAAAAAGTAAAGACCTTTTCACCCCATCGAAAGACAATGGGTGAGAGGGAGGGAGAAAGTAGAAAAACAGCCTACGATTCTGATGACAAACCTAGAGCTTCCTCCTGAGCCGGGAGGGTTGGCATGAATGTGCCACGAGGGATGCTGAGCGGGTCCAGTGAGGGAGGGGGCCACAGTCTGAGCGACCAAAAGGAAAACGAGGTAAGATTCAGACCCCGAACAAGAAAGTTGAGTTCTCCCATGGGATAGAGGCTTAGGGTTGTTCCTTTTTTTTTTTTTTTTTAACAAAAAAATAAACATCAAAACCCCCACCCGGACAAGGTCCCACTGTTAAGAATTTAATAAAGATGAATGAGTGGCAATAGTAAAGATTGAGGGCTCTGCTGTGCAACAGCCGTGGCTTCTATAAGGCCCTTCATTCTACAGCGCCTGTTGCCTGCTAACCTGGAAAATGTCTCTTCCGTCCTTTCACTCTGAACCTGACCCTGTGGTTTATGCCCAACGATGTCCTTTCCCCTTCCTGGGACCAGAAGTTTCCTCGGCACGCTCCCTCTTGCCTAGGTTAGAAAAGCAAGCCTTTGTTTTGGGAGATGCCTAGACAGATGACTCTAAAAAAGGCCATGGCTACGGGGTTAGCAAAAACATCTCTCCGTGGGAACTGAGCTCTCCGGAAGAGTGTGATCACGGCATTTTCCTGGACTTTGGCAGGTGAACCCCTGAGAGCTCAACCTCTGCGAGACCCAGAGGCCAGTGCTCTCAGTCCTCTTAATCCCCAATTAATTAAAACTCCCTGGGAATAGCCATGAAGAGGCAGCTTGCGGGCTTAACTGAGAACCTGAACTCACAACAGGAGAGATCAAGGTCTAAACTGCCAGAGGTTAGTTGCCCCAGGAAGGGCAGTGAGCCAATGCTTTGTGGTAATAATGCTCTTTAGAGGAACACGATCCAGGGAAGAAATGCAATGAGGGAATATAAACTGAAAACCAACAGTAAAACCAATTCATCAACTCGATAAAATATCTTTTAATTTAGGTTAAAAATGTCTTTAATGTTTCCAAAACATGACGTAGTTTACAATAATAATGTATTACAGTGACCAGTTATCATATAGTTCTGATTATAATAACCCCTAATTGGGAGGCAGCTAAATTCATCAGGTTATTTATGGCCAGTAATCGCAAAACACAATTTTGGGATAGAGAGTTTCCCGAGGCAAGAAAACACTGTCAGTAAACAGATTACTAAGGAGGACCTCATGCATGATTTATTGCTCTGCTATGGCTGTCTTGAAATTTCAAAACTTTAGAACAAGAGACAAGCATTTTCAATTTGCATTGATTCTTGCAAATGAAGAAGCCACTCCTGGCTTTAGAATACCATCTGTAG